GGGAAAGGTTCAAGGTAGGCGAGCAAAAGGCAGACAGCGTTGCAAGTGGGAGGATAACATCAAGAGATGGACGAAAAGCAGTATGAGTGAGTGTACATCAAGGGCAAGAGACAGGGCTTGTTTGAGATCCATTGCAGTCAACCTTCATTGTGGAGACGGCACCTGATTGATTGATTGAGTTATCTCTGGCAAGAGGCTACTGGCCATTTTCTGCATCTGCAGTTCACACAAAAAAACCACGCTGGGCTCAGTCGAAAAGCATTTAAAATGAAATCCCAGCTCACAGTGTTGCGCCATGCACTGAGCTCAGTAGCTGGGGGACGGTAGTAAATCCTTTCAGTCTATATTTGAAGGAAATTGCAGCAGCTAACTTTTGCTCGCAGCAAAACTCGCCACGACTAAAAACAGGTGACAAGCAGAATATTAGCAGGAGACAGAGGGACATTCTGAAGTGTCGGGCAGACAAGAATGCCCTCAGAAAACGGTTCAAAGCCGCTACAGGCAGCGAACGGGAGGGGCTGCATGAAGTCTGGTGGCATTTAAAGAACAGACACAGTGCCCTCTGTCGCGCTGAGCGTTTCTGTAACAACAGGAGAAGAACCAAAAGGGAGCGAGAGAAATTCTTTAGGAACCCGTTCCAGTTTGCCTGAGGTCTATTCGAGCAACCGAAGTCTGGGACTCTCGTTGTCACATTTACGCAAGATGTACTCTGACAAAAGAGGAATGAGCCTCTCGATAACAATCCAGAGATCCAGGTATACAGACTGCTTTAATTATGCTACCGGGACGACTTCTTATCTCACAGTACCTTCTGCAAAATCACCAATTTGTCGTGTCCCTATCCGAACAACATCCGGTAATTTCGTGCAGCAGGGAAACCAACCCTGAGCTTCATGAACTCAGGTGGGCCCACTCTCTGAGAATGTCTAGGAGCTAGTGGGCCGAAACATTTGTCGACGAGAGATTACTTCTACTGACGATTGGTAGATCCCTGCTGTACATGCTCCCCTGTGGAGTTTCTTCTTATATAGACCAATCGGCACAAGATGGGTAACGTGGTCAGCTTCACGCTGACCCCTTTACTTCCCCGAGTTGCACCCAGTTACCACTCAAGGCTGGGAGCCTACGTTATTTTTGAAAAAAAAATCCGGCTTCGCCAAGAAGCGAACCCACGACCTTCGGATCCGCGGGCGAGCGTCTAGGCGCTTCTGCCACGACGACTCCCCACATCATTAGTTAGTGGTGCTTTAAAGAGTACCATGCTTGTATGTTCTACTTGTTTCGCATCTCCCATTTTTCCCCTAGTGGGGGATGATCCTTCAACCAACTCAGGCCACATCGTCCAGTCTTTTGCTACTGCATGCAGCTCACCATATCTCCTTCATCCATCTTTAAAAAAAAATTAAATTACGTCTTCTACCTTGTGCGAGCGTGTTTGTTTAGCTTTTTGTCTATGTCCCTGTGGGTTTTAGAGAAAAGACATTTTATTATTGTCTTCTCAGCTCTTCTTAAAGACGGTTCTATCCAACGCCATCGTCTTTTATTAACCACTTGTTTCCACCTGAATTTATCCTTTGTTTTCTTCCAAGGCTCCGCATAGTAATTCCATCATATAATTTTATTCTCTTTCTTGTTTAGGCACTGCACTACTTAATAAATACATTATTTTTGTATATTCCTTCTTTGCATCAGTTGGATATTATTAAACTGACAATGTTGTGCTAGAGTGGTCCGATAAAGAAATTCACAAGTGTTAATTAGCAACATTAGAAGTCAGGGAAGACGAAGAAAAAACAAAAAAATACATTATATATTTTCGGAAAGAAAGTTATCCGACAAATGAATTACTTGGCGACGGGCTTTGCTCTGTGAGCTTGCATTAGAATATCTGCTGTTAATGTTGCAGGGACTTGAAATATATTGTCTGCTTTCCTAGAGGGAATTAGCTTGGAGTCTGGCGACACTGAAGCGTGTCAAACCTGTGGAGATAAGAATACCCAAACCCGTGGAGATAAGATTACCTAAATCCTGTAGAGGCATCATTAGTTCTTGTCTTGCATCTTCTGGGAACAGGATAATATCCCTGTCAGTGGATGTGAAGTTATGTGAAGTTAGTGTACCGTCTTGCAGGATAATATCCCTATCAGTGGATGTGAAGTCAGTGTACCGTCTTGCAAGATAATATCCCTATCAGTGGATGTGAAGTTAGTGTACCGTCTTGCAAGATAATATCCCTATCAGTGGATGTGAAGTTAGTGTACCGTCTTGCAGAATAATATCCCTATCCGTGGATGTGAAGTTAGTGTACCGTCTTGCAGGATAATATCCATATCAGTAGATCTGAAGTTAGTGTACCGTCTTGCATCTTACATTTATTTATGACTTTGGAGACTGTAAACTGAGCTGTACTGCGCAGATCTTTGTGGAAATTGTTGCATTATATCCGTCACGGCTATATTTTCTCTGATGATTCAAGTCGATTGCAGGGCAAACGACCGTAACGACAGCAGACTAATGAGTTTAAAATTGGTCTTCCTAATTAGAGGTAGTCGCAGTGGTGTAGCTGCTAGAGGCTCGACAGCGAATCGGGAGGTCGGGAGTTCGGGTCCTGATGGAGCCGGACTTTGTTTCAGAAATGCGTTTTGCCCCCACGTCGACTCAGCCTAGTGGGTACCAAGTGCAGTCCTAGGAAGTAACGTCGGCAAGCGTGATGCTGACCACATCACCCCACCCAGTGCTGATTACATTAAAAAATATAGGCGTAGTCTTATATTTCCAAAACGTCTGAAAGGGTGGAAAATGGCCCTATACTTCGTAATGAGTAGAAAGTAACCTGAAACATCCTTTTTCTTCCCAAGATCACGCATAGTAATCTAGCATATGAGAAGAGCACCCTTATTTTGTACAGGCACTCGCACTAGGTGGGTAGTAATACATTACGCTGTAAGGAATCCTTTTTACATAAGTCGGGTCGAGTTTTAAACCTAACAAATTTGTGCCCCCCCCCCCCCCCCGATAAAGAAATTCACAAATTTAAAACTTGGACCCGTCCGAAAAGGTATATACGAAAAAAAAATACATTGATCTATACCTTTATCGGAAGAAAATAATATCTGACAAACCTTCTAGCTGCTTTGACTTTTCGTCATTTTCAAATTTGCAACTGTAGGTTGATTATTTCTAGGGTTTTATTTGAATATTCTTGGAAACCGGTTGAAATTGCTATGTATACAAGGAACTTCTTCTTACTGACGCCAGGCGAAGTTAGTGCGGGCAGTCTTCTGCCGACATTCTGAGACATGTCAGAATTCGTCGAGCCTAAGATTACTCCAAATCCTGCGGCCTGTAGTGTTATGAAATTTCCGATGCTTGGAGGCATCATTAAAGTCCAGGCAGATTGCTTCTTCTGGGAACAGGATAATATCCCTATCAGTGGATGTGAAGTTAGTGTACCGTCTTGCAGGATAACATCCCTATCAGTGGATGTGAAGTTAGTGTACCGTCTTGCAGGATAATATCCCTATCAGTGGATGCGAAGTTAGTGAACCGTCTTGCAGGATAATATCCCTATCAGTGGATGTGAAGTTGGTGTACCGTCTTGCAAGATATTATCCCTATCAGTGGATGTGAAGTTGGTGTACCGTCTTGCAGGATAATGTCCCTATCAGTGGATGTGAGGTTAGTGTACCTTCTTGCAGGATAATATCCCTATAAGTGGATGTGAAGTTAGTGTACCGTCTTGCAGGATAATATCCCTATCAGTGGATGTGAAGTTAGTGTACCGTCTTGCAGGATAATGTCCCTATCAGTGGATGTGAAGTTAGTGTACCGTCTTGCAGAAAAATGTCCCTATCAGTGGATGTGAAGTTGGTGTACCGTCTTGCAAGATATTATCCCTGTCAGTGGATGTGAAGTTAGTGTACCGTCTTGCAGGATAATATCCCTATCAGTAGATATGCAGTTAGTGTACCGTCTTGCAGGATAATGTCCCTATCAGTGGATGTGAAGTTAGTGAACCGTCTTGCATCTTACATTTATTTATGACTTTGGAAACTGTGGAAATTGTTGCATTATATCCGTCAAGTCTATATTTTCTCTGATGATTTAAGTCGATTGCAGGGCAAACGACCGTAACGACAGCAGACTAATGAGTTTAAAATAGGTCTTCCTAATTAGAGGTAGTCGCAGTGGTGTAACGGCTAGATGCTCGCCTGCGAATCGGGAGGTCGGGAGTTCGGGTCCTGATGGAGCCGGACATTTTTTTCTTAAAAAATGACGCTGGTCGACCCAGCCTAGACCGGGTACTGAGTGCAGTCCTGGGAAGTAAAGGCGGCCGGCGTGATGCTGACCACATCACCCCACCAAGTTCAGATTAGTTTTTAAAATATAGGCGTAGCCTTATATGCCCAATAAGTTTAAAGGGATGGGAAATGGTCTTATACTTCGTAATTAGTAGAAAGTAAGGTAAAGATTCCTTTTCATACCATTAGTCCCATTGAGCATATGGTAAGAGCACCCATATTTTTACAGACCAATCGGTACTAGGTGAGTAATGTGGTCAGCATTACGCTGGCCGTCTTTACTTTCCCAGGACCTACATCCTGGCACCCATTTCAGCTGCGTCGACCTGCGACGCCGCATGCCATGATAAAAAATCCACGCAGCCAGCAGTGGGTTTCGATCGCGGTAAGTTGGAATTAGGAGTACGACTAGCAACGCCTAAGCCACGGACGCAGCACTTCCTGATTAGAAAACACAAATTTAAGATGGATGAGTTTTTTAGTGAAATCAACAGACACTTAAAATTTGTTCCGCCAATTGTCGGGGTACTCAGACTATCACTTGAGAACCACCGTCAGTATTCAGTTATTAACGGGTTTTCCTGTGTTCTTCTACGGACCGCTGAATTGGTTGTCAGTACTTCTTCTAGAGTTCTTCAAACAAACCAGTTAATCCACTCTTTGCTACTTCCAATTGTTTATCCTCTCTTGTGCCCGCAGGAATGGTGCAGATGTCGCACGAGAAACGCTTGATTCGGGACTTGATCGGAAACTACAGCGAGCGAGGCAAGATGGGCCGACCTGTCCAGGACCAGAACGAGACCATTACAATTTTCTATGGAATGTCCCTCATACAGATCCTTGACCTTGATGAAAAGAACCAGATCCTAAGCACCAACGTCTGGGCAACATACGTGAGTCTTTGATGATTTGGCTTCTTCTCGTGTGGTGTTTTTGGTCTGTCTACAACCTTCTTTCTCATGTGGCGTTGTTGATCTGTCTAGAACCTTCTTTCTCATGCGGCGTTGTTGGTCTATCTACAACCTTCTTTCTCATGTACTTTCAGTTACTTGTGACACAGATGACCTGCCATGCCATGATGTCAGATTGTCCAGAATCTTCTGTCTCTGTTTTCGCTCTGTGTATTTACCTCTCCAACCTTCCCACCGTCACGATGCACTCAAGTTTTCTCCTTCTCGTGATAAACTGAGTTAAGCTGAGTCAAGAATTGACATCACAGCAATCGGGGAATTCCCATTCATGTTCCGTCCTCATGCAAACAATGAGCAAACAATGTACAGTCCCCTTCTGATGTGGGCAGTCAGTTCCATTCGTGGGTCAATTTCCTTCAAAACATCTTTATCACTGGCATAGTGTTCACATCGTTTGTCATTAAAACCACACTTCCACTGCTGCTACCTTTTTCACTTATCGGGAAACTATCCATGATTCACTTCAATACGTGATGATAAAATGTATATGGCTTTCGAGAATTTCTCACACCTCAGTTGCCAAAGACAAGATTTCGTAGAATGTTCTTACTGTTGAGAAATGCTGCCGTTAAGCTACTCTATATGTAGATGTGCATTGAATCATTTTGCTGTATAATTTCGCTAAGGCATCAGAATAGGTTTATCTTTTTAAATAACTGACCTACTCTTCCAGGTTGACCCAGCCTCACTTACACTACAATAAAAGGTTACCGTAATTCTAGATAGACTGATGAAAGGTTAGCTGTGTATCTCTTACAGGACTGAGGGAGGACCTGATCACATATGGACTTGTCTGGAGTGCAATGATAATGACCCAACTTACTAACTAACATGTACAGGACGTTGCAGAATAAACCCCACTAAATGTGGGTGTTTTTTTAAAAAACCATTTGCAATTTTACTTAACTTAACTATCAGTAGCTTGTCGTCCTTAAACGTTTAAAGCTCGGCACTCGATACCACAGTCAATACCAACGCAAGGTGGTCTGTTGCCAAATCGCGCGGTCGCAGATTCCAAGCCACAGACGTAGAAGTATGAAAAGTACCAAGGGGAAAATTGAGATGGCAATTAGTTGCGAAAAGCATGGGTCTATACAGGGAAAACACATGATGGAAAACACATCTCTAAAATTTAGAGATTAGCCTTACCGATTTTTAAAGTTTTTTAGTTCTGTTTTTGCTCAATGAGACGACTTGCTTATTCCAAAAAGTTTACCTGCCCTGGACACCTCAGTCAGATGGTATATTTCAGGCACGGATGGGATCTATCACCTGAATGAACTTGAGGTGTGTGGGTTAAAGGTGGTGTTAACTGGAGATCAAAGGCGGGCAGGTGTCTACCTTTCACCAAAGTAAAACAAAAACAGGGCTGTGCTAATGAGTTTACCTGTGGTTGTCATCATTGACGCCAAGCAAAAAGATATACCGGAAGCAAGTTGTCTAGTTATCATTTGTGGTACACTAAACTAAAAGAAAGGATACACAGAAGCAAGTTGTTAAGTTTATTTTTAGTAATGCTCAAAGCTACGAGAAAGGATAAAAAGAGACCAGTTACGGAGTTTATTTTTAGTGATACACGAAGATAAGAGAAAGGATACACAGAACGCAAAAGCAAGACGCCCTCAATCAATCAGGTGTCATCAAAACAGTTTAGCTGAGTGGATCTCCAGCGTTCTGTCTCTCATTCCGGTTGTAAACTCCCCGAGACGGCTTTTTTTTTTCCACCTCCGTAATCGACCAGTTTGTTCCCTCCGGGCTGATACCTCAATGTTAACCAGACCATTCTGAATGGTGTCCGCTATAGGTTCCAGGTTCAATCCCGGTAAGGGCTGGGATTGTTTCACTTGGACTTAAACTTCTAGTAATTCCCCCCGGGTCTCTGTAGGGAGATCGGACGGCTGTGTGAATTGCTGCGCACGTAAAAAAATCCCTTGGCAGTTGGAAATAAAATGGGGTAGCCCAATGGCGCTGCTCGGGCAAAATTTATAATTAAAAATGTATCCAAAGTATTTCGAATCCTCGCCGGTTCTACAGCAACTGTGCACTGTTCTGAGCTTCTTCAGATCTTCAGACTCAGACTTGATTTAGAAGAAGAACGGAGCACTTATGGGGTACACCGGTGTGTGATAATGTTGATCCTTTGTCAAAACCTCAAAAATTTCCGTGAACCTACAAAGAAGTTATTTTAGGGGACACTAAACAGCTACACGAGACAAAGGTAACTTGTAGTCTTCTGTGCGCAAGGACTGACTGACTGACTTTCTACCCCACTAGGACATCACACAAGCGATAAACACACGATGACTCAGAGTGCCACCATGTGGATGAGGATCGCCGTGGAGAGGTCCCAGAAACCGCGTTCAGATATTTGGCCATATTTATGGCCTGCCTATATAGCGGCCCCTGGCAAAAGCCAGGTTAGGACTTCAAATAACAAAAAATTTCGTCCTAAAAAGGACAAAATTCTCTGGCTCGACAGACCCGTGCATTTAGATTGCTAGTTGGATACCTCAGACTCCAAGACATTTATGCAGAAAAGTCAAGATTGCGGACTATAGACTTTTGCCCATATGAACTTTCACCCCGGAATACTGACAGTGTACTGCAAACATACATCTTGCATGCAGCAGGGAGATCCCTTCTCCGGCAGTTAGTATTCCAGTGGAAACTAAGCTTGATCGGTGGACGCTTTGTGTCGTACCAGATCTTTACAGAGGTCTACGGCCTTATCTGACAATGACTGTTACTGCTACCATGGGAATTTTAACTTCGCTTGCTGCTGAAAATGGGTCGGAGCGCTTATGGGGGTGTAGCGATTGCTGTGATGTCGATTCCTAATTCAACATTCAATTTTTAACATCTGACAAAACCTAGAAAGGAGAGGGAAGGGGGGGGGGGGGAAGAAAACAATAACAAAGAGTATCACTGTCTACTTTATCTGCGCTTTTCTAAAATTTGGCCAGCATAGTTTTTATCCGAGTGTTACATATTTACGTGGTTCCCTTGTTTCTTGTTTAACTTCAACAACTCTCTTTTTATTCCCAAATTCTCTGTCCCCTCACTACTAGATAGTTTCTATGAAATACGACATATTCTGTATATCCACAACTGCAAAGACTAACATTGATTTTCTTGTTGCTTGCCCATTGTCCAGGTTTCTGCATCATACAGAAGCTTTCAGTTGACATGAAAGTTGACTATGTTTACTTTTAAAGTTTTCTTCTTCTTCTTGTTCGCGTTCACCGGCTGTAAACTCCGGTGGAAAGTTCTGGTTGTTCGTCCACTTCTAGACTGCAGTCCTGTTCCAGAACCTGAGTGTTGCATGTGCATCCGTTTGACAGATCTGTATGCAGACTGTTGGTTCCTAGCCTCTCAGGCAGATGCACTCCGACTTCGAAGGAAGCTTCCAATTAGTCGACTCTTACGACATGCTTTTGGGTAGGCAGTGGGTCTATTCTTGTTTTTCCTATAGTAGGGCCCCGGAACCCACGCGGGAATTTTAAAGTTTTGTTTATCTCATAATGTGACTATCGATACACACAATTGAGCTCATGAACTCAAGCCAGATGTTGGCGACTTCCTAATATAGATTCACAGTTGCTGTATTCTGAAATTAAAACTTGCGCTGACAGACCAAGGTATTTCAGGTTTAGTGGATAGGAATCTATAATATAAATCCAAAGAGCTCGCCACCGAAACTCATCGGTGCCAATAAACAAAACGTTATAAGGCATTTTCAAAATTAACACTGTCATGGCGCCTTTAGACCACTATCATTGTTTTCGAACACACACACATACGTATATCTATATATATATCACCAAATAGGACCCCTTGCCCACTCCCCCCCCCCCCCCCCCCCCCCAAAAAAAAAAAATATTTGGTCTCAGAATGCCAAATCACGTCAAATGCTTAGATGCTTTCACTGTTGACACAAGCTGACATCTTTAGTTAATATCTGCAAGAAGTCACAAGTTCAAACCCCGGACGAGCACCTATTTAACTGCAGTGACTTTCGCTAGGTTGTTAGCAATGGGACTCTGTGTGTCCCAGTATATAGCAACAGTGACAATGATGCACCAAAGACGACAATATATAAAATTAAACACATTACTTGACAAACTATACATTTCGTTTTTCTCTGATCCAGACTGTCTGTTGTCACTCATAATATTATCTAGAGGTATGACAACTGAACACTCAGCTTCTCTATTTTGTTCCCACAGAATTATTTTTTGTCGTCAATTTTTGCATCGTCCCAATTTCGTAGACACTGGCTTGCAGGCTCACTATACACAAAATATGATTCAGTCGAAAAACACAGCTAACGGTTATTCGGCAAGCTTCCATCCTGGCGACAATTAGCTAGATATTCCTGGCTACTTTGGCTGTCTAGATATATTCAGTTTCAGATGCTTTTATAAATACTTTCACATGCTTTCAGTTCCCGCATCAAACACAGACTGATCTCACTTTCTCTTTTCTTGAGCTACCTCATGTCCATCTATGTAATTATGTTGACGATTTCTCGTGAGCTTCAATTTCCTGGCACTTTCCGACTTCTCGAGTGGAAACATTCTTATTCATTTAATCTATTTGGCTACAGGTTTCCTTCTTGGCTTTTTGCCTATCTTCTTCTTTTGTCAAAATCTGCTTGTGCCGCTAGGCGTTGCAGTCTATCAGATGATCGGCAACCGAGCCAGGGCGCGCTCAGTCGCTTCATATGCCGTGATGTTATGAAGTCTCAAGTTGTCCGTGACTCCTTCAATCCATCTTCTTCTTGGTCTTCCCCTGCCTCTTGTTGTTTCGATTTTCATGTTGTATGCTCTTGATGCTGGCATCGTTGGTTCCATTCTCATTAGGTGACCAAACCATTTCATTCTTTGCTTCTCAATAAATTTAACGATGGGTATGGTTCCAATAGTTCTTGTAATCACATCGTTTCTCACTCGATCTCTTCTGGTTTTATTCGCAGCCATTCTCAAACATCTCATTTCACAGGTGGTTAGTCTTCTCTCATGTTCTTTTGTTAATGTCCAAGTCTGACATTGATAACCTAATGTCGGTATAAAGATTGTATTTATAATTTGTCTTTTTATCTCAGCTGGGACAGCAGGGTGTTTTAAAATTGGGGCAAGCTGGTATGCGACATTGTTGGCTTGTTGGATTCTTGCTTCAATCTCTCTGTCTATTTTACCATTGGATGTAAAGATACTTCCCAGGTATTTAAATTCTTGCACTTGTTTTAGGCTGTGATCTAGAATCTTTATGTCGATGGTCTGTTGCTCTCTACTTATGCTCATGACTTCTGTCTTTTCAGTATTGATCTTCATATGATGCTTGAGGCAACTGTCGTGTAGTAGGTTCATGTGGTCTTGCAGCTGATGACTATCACTGTGAAATATGCATTGATCGTCGGCAAAGAGCAGCTCATTGAAGTCCTCCTGTTTATCGACATCTGTTGGTGTTATGTCTATTTTATTATTATTGTCCATAAATATTATACTGCCTATACATGATGCTAATTGGGCATTCCTTCTGACGGCTGCTATACTCTTTAGCCAGTCTCACCACGCCCGCAATGTTAACAAATTTCACATCATTAGACACACGCCATGTTACTCCATTCTCATAATGTTAACAAATGTTCATTTCTAAATCCCTTTACCGTGTTAACTAAGCTTTCTAGTTGAAATTGCTTTCCGGTAATAATGACGTCCTCCTGCACAGCTGAGTCCTACACTTTTACAAATTCGTCATGTTCTGAGATATCGTCCACTGTGAATGTTTTCCTTTAATGTAAAGTTTCTAAATTAACTTCTGCAATTGACATCACCAACCGATGATAACAATTGTACTGTTCCTAAAGTTTTCTAATGTTAACTATGTCTCTCACTGTTGACTGTGTCTTCTAGATTTAAACAATACACAGTTAACTAAGTATTCTACTTTTAAGTAATGCTTCCACTGTTGGCTACTGTTAACTGAGTTTCCCTAATGTTAACTGAGTTTTCTACTGTTAAATGAGTTTTCCAACTGGTAACTGCGTTACCCCACAGTTAACAGAGTTTTCTACTGTTAAATTAGTTTCCTACTGTTAACTAAGTCTTTGATTGTTTCTAATTCTTCTACTGCTAATTAATTCTGCAAGTGCTAAATAGTCCTTCCAAAAAATGACCTCTTTCCGCGCTCTCACCGGTATTAGGCAGACTGTGCTAGATTGATATTTAAAAACGCTTGTCTCATTTACTTCCGAGGACTTTAATTGTGCTTTTTTTTTAAGACTGGGCTGACCTAGCAGCAAAGGTTATTTTTTTTTTTCAAATGTTCGAATTTGAATCCACGACCTTCTGATCCGAAGGTGATCTTCTAGCCGCTCCACCACTGCAGCCACCACCTAATCTTCTACCGTTAAAAAATACTTCCAGTGTTAACAAAGTGTCCCGGTGCTAACTATCTAATTCCTCGTGCTTCTGAACCTCACAGAACTGGAACGACATGTACCTGCGCTGGAACGAGTCCGAATACGGAAACATCAGCATTGTCCGGGTCAACAGTGAGGACATTTGGAAACCGGACATCAAGCTCTACAACTAGTGAGTTTCATTGTCTGTCTATGTGTTGGTCTTTTTAGTATAGGAAGACATAGACTAGCAGACATTTAAACCAACAGACAGACAGACAGACAGACAGTCAGGGAAAAAAATTAAGTGCTCCATTAATTATGAAGGCAGCAAAGCCGAACTGTGCGATCACACCGGAACAAGAAAACTTTACAGTGTTTAAGAAACAGGCAACTTGTTGTGGTAAAGTTAATGTTTACAATGTTTTTTAAAGTTAGGTAACATAAACTTTTACTCTAAATGCGGATCGTGTATATGATGCCAGACTCGTATATTTGTAAACTAGTCAGTACTCACCTGATAATGTGGTCCAGTGTTCTGCAACCTATTCACCGCGGCCCACCAAAGTCTAAGGGGGCTGCCAAAAAATGTCTACCCAATCATGTAGCAATGATAATAAGAATAATTCCACATGTACATCAAGAGTTTACAGATCCTTAGCAGGTGCTCCCACTTTAACAATTGTTTAGGCCCGTTTATACCCTTAACCAGTGATTCCGAAACTGTGGGCCAAGGGGAGCTGCGACCTCTTCACAGCAGGGCAGCGAAATATTCGAAGATACACGAGTTTTATTTTTGTGTATCTCTTACATACGAATAGTCAAATTTTACTTAGGTTAGTTCGCCGTGAAAACATTTTATTTGAAGAAAGACGGTGCGACTAGGAAAACTTTAGGAAACACTGCCCAGACAATCTCGGTGGGGGGGGGGGGGGGGTTGACCTACAACAAGGTTGAGAAACAGTGATGTGGTCCACATGACGCCGGCCGCCTTTATTCCCAGGGAATTACTAGGTTTCTATTTTGGGCCACGCCGACTTGGGGACCAGGGTGAATATTTTATTTGATTTACGGCATTACAGGAAGCGATATGACTTGTGTCGAAATGATAAGCCAGATTTATAACTGGACGTTTTACAAACACGTTTATACATACGCGCACACACGCACACACACACACACACACACACACACACACACACACACAACACCCAGTCAGTTAATGAAAAGTCGAAATTAGAGAAACCCTATATTAATAAACAAGTTATCAAGCAATATAAAAAAAAAATTCTCCTTAGCCTTATAAATAGTTCTAAACATTACAGTTATAAATAGTTCTAAACATTACAGTTATAAATAGTTCTAAACATTACAGTTATAAATAGTTCTAAACATTACAGTTTTAAATAGTTCTAAACATTACAGTTATAAAAAGTTCTAAACATTACAGTTATAAATAGTTCTAAACATTACAGTTATAAATAGTTCTAAACATTACAGTTATAAATAGTTCTAAACATTACAGTTATAAATAAATGCATGAACATCTGATTTTTGCAATACTTTTTATATGCCCAATACGCCTGAAGCCGTGGTTAATGATGCCTTATTTTATTTGACATCTGACGCAGATTTCTGAACACTATAATTTTTACATGTCTGAGAGATTTAGGCTAATCTGGTTTACTGCAGTTTTTGTGTCAAAGTCTGCCCTAAAGAAACTCGCTCTCGCGCCAGCTCTCCGGCCTCCTGCACCTATATATATATGAAGTCACATAAATCATGTGTTCATCTTCGTGTTAGTCGGCCTCTTTCCCTCCTTCCTGGTACCATGTCTTCTTCTATTTTTTAATCCGCCATGACGCTTGATATGACCAAAATATTTCAGCTTCCTAGACAAAATATTGTATATCTTTGATGTTAAGATCTTTTTAACAATGTCAGTATTTCTTCTCTTCTTTGTCCACTGTATTCTGAGAATCTTTCTATAGCAGTTCAGCTTAAAACAATCCAATGTAAGGTAACGACAATGTATATATGTCGCAGGTAGAATTTACAATCCTAATCTCTACAGTTGGATGTGACCGCACTAGAAATGCAGAACTCATCCCACACCGCAATTAAAGTCTTTTCCTTCCTCTCTTATCTGCCATTTCCTCTGTATGATCCAACCGTTTTAGCCTATTAGCCCTAGCAACAGCAACAACAGTTTAGTGGTAGTTTAAACACACTGTTCCCCATGTGAGTTCCGGAGCCCCACTGTGGGGGAAACAAGAATATACTCACTGCCTACCCAAAAGCATGTCGTAAAAGTCGACTAATTAGGGAGCTTCCTTCGAAGTCGGAGTGCATCTGCCTGGAAGACATGGAACCAATAGTGTGCATTCAAGTGAATCACATCTGTAAAACTGATGCACACGCAACACTCAGGTTCTAGGGCAGGACTGCAGTTCAGAAGTGAACGAACAACCTAAACTTCCCGCAGCACTGTACAGATGGTAATCGAGAAGAAAAAAGAAGAAGAAACACACTGTGAAATTCATAGTTGCTTCTTACTCTAGGGAGTCGCCGTGGTGTAGCGGCTATACGCTCGCCTCCAGATAGGGTGGTCGTGTGTACTGTTCCTGACGAAGTCGGATTTTTTTTTTCAAATGACATTGGCTTCATGTTTGACCTATACTTAAATGGGTACCAGGTAGAGTTCTGGGAAGTAAAGGCGGCCAGCGTGATGCTGACCACATCACCCAGCAAGTGTCGATTGGTCTATAAATATAGGTCAAGCCCTGAATACCCAATGTGAATGAAGGCATGGAAAGGGTCCTTTACTTTACTTGCTTCTCACTCTCCATTCAAGCTGTTCTCACCAATTTCTAATGTCGTTTCGTCAGTTTTTAAAATGAATTAATCATCATTATTATTCACTTCCACTTTTGCCCTTTAAGAGTGGTGGGGAAGAACAATTTGCGATACATTGTTTTGTGGATAGTAATGACTATTGTTATTACTTGTGGATGTAAGATGCCTTGAATATCATTAATCTATATTCTTATAGGCCTTGCTTTCACTTCGGGTCTTTTCGTGTGCGTCACCTGTGTTTGTAGATGTTATGGCTACATTTTGGCAAGATGACCAAACTTTTAGATCTTTTTTTTTTCAATGAATTTGATGCATGAGGTTATTCCCACAGTCAGTCTGGTAGTATAATTTCTCACCTTGTCTCGGGTGGGTAAGTTGGCGGCTTTCCTCGTGCCATTTTACAGTTGTTAAAATTGCATAGATTAGGTTCTTGTTGTGTCTAATCTTGGCATTGGTAGCACTGTAGGTTGACATGAATTTGCTGCTTATGTTTTTTTGCTGTCATTCTATGAGTAGATATCCTAATAACGGCGTTAATTTGTACATAAGTGCACTTGCTGGTTGGCATCCTGTTTCTGTTTCCCTATTTTTTTCATCCGTCCTCCGAGAATATACTTCTTAAAATTTTTAATTAGCAACTTGGCTTCAGACAAGTGCCATTCAAGCCCCTAGGTAAGTAAAGGACCTTTTTTTCTCGCCCCCAGGCGTTTTGTATACATAGGGCTAGATCTATATTTTATAGACCAAACGGCACTTGGTGGGTGATGTGGTCAGCATCACGCCAGTTGCATTTACTTTCCATGACTGTACCTGGTACCCACTTAAGGCTGGGTCGACCTGAGAGCCAGGGTCATTTTTGAACAAAATCTCTGGCCCCTGTCAGGACCCTAACCTTCTGATCCACAGGCGCGCATCTAGTTGCTAGACCACTGCGTCTCTCAAGCTCCTAGGTAGAGTACAGGTAATTTTACTTAAATGATGGTTAATACAGACGAAATAAACTTATTTCCTTGTTACAGTCCTTCTATGGTTCAACGGATTGTATTGTTTTTTGATGAAAGTTTGGTAGAAGATGTGTGTCTATTTCCAGCGCTGATACCAGACTGGAGGAGAAGAGAGAAGCTCTGTGTGTCATCTCTAGCACTGGAGACGTGGTGTGGATCCCCCAGGCTGTCTTTAAGAGCTCGTGCTCCATCGACATCAGACACTTCCCTTTCGATGTACAGAGCTGCCTTTTGAAGTTTGGCTCGTGGACGTACGACGGGTCCAAGTTAGATCTGCAGGTATTGTTGTTTTGTTGGTCTATTCACTGCTTTGTCATAATGCTTTTCATCGTCTCTGCGAATTTTCAACTACTTGAAGTTCAAAAGTCGTAACAGGATAAGTGGATGTTGAAGATTGGTACAGAAAGGAACGAACATGGATTAAGGAAAAAAGAGGCATGGGATTGTATTCACACAGATGTGTGTGCAAACACACAAACAATTTCGATTACTACCTGTAGTTACCACTTATTCAGTGGCCAGTGCTGCTGCCACGCACTGTGGATGTTAGAAATGTATCCTCCCTCCCCTTCCACCCATCCCCTCCCACCTTACCACGTCCCCTCCGACAGAAACAAACATGTCCCTCATCTAACCGAGGATTTGAACGCAGGTCTCCAGTAGGAGAGCGAAGCTCTCTATTCTTTCGGCCAGGCGCTTCTTAAACCAAAAAAATGGGCTAATGAGATAATGCACTGCTAATTATTCAACAGGGATACGGCTGGCCGAACGGTTACAACCTCGGGTTCTCATTCATGAGACCAGTGATCGACCCCCGGTAAGATTATAGAGTTTCTATGTCTGAGAATTATAACCTGTACAGTCCAATAAATATGCGATCCCAAGTGCTTAGTCCTACCACCCCCTAAAAAGAAGTACATACAAACAATAATGACAGGTTTTGATATAATTTTAAAAACATTTTTGCTTTAATAATTAACCTTCAGAGTCCATGCTTTGTGCGACCTTTGTGTTAGTCGTCCTATGGAGATAAACTGAGTCACATGAGATAAATCCCGATGCAACGAAGTCCATCCGCTCGACGATAACATTTGTGAGGCGGGGTTAACTTCCAATAAAGCAGTAGTGATGTCTGTACAATGAGATGTCTGAGAAGGGCTGTAGGAGTGACCATAAGAGATAAGATAAGGAATGAGATCATAAGAGAACAAGTCGGCACAGAACCAATTCTGGATTACATACAAAGACAGCAAGTGAAATGGTTTGCCCACTTAGAGAGAATGCCTTGTGACACCATACCATACAAAGCATACATGGAAAGAGAAGAAGGACGTAGAGCACGGGGTAGACCAAGAACAAGATCTAAGGATAACATCAGAGAAACTCTACAACAGCACGATGTGCCTATGGTCGAGCCAGCCAGAAGAGCTAGAAACAGAACCTTATATCTCTCTCGACACCCACAGCGGTAAAAGAGGAAGTGAAGAAGAAGAAGATGACTGTACATACAGAGCGAGATGTTAGGGTACATCAGGCATGTCAGCTTCGTGTGTGCGGTTAGTACCTTTGAACAAAAGCTGGTTTAGAGACTTCTTATGGGTCAACTACACACTGGCCGCCTTAGCTTCCCAGGATTTTACTTGACGCCCATTTATGGCTGCAACAACTTGGGAACGGCAGTCAATTACACACACACAGACACCCACACTCAACACACTCATTACACACACACACACACAGATCACATTCGATGTGTCTTAAGACAGTGTGGCTGGCACACGAGCTTCTATTCGCATCTCCCCGATCTGGAAGAACAACGCAGATTTAAGAGTTTGATCGATCCTGTAATTTTTAACCTCTTTTCCATTGGCAGTTCCACTACAGCGAGGTCTCTGGGTTCGAGATGAACGACTACATCACCAGCAACGAGTGGGACATCGAAGAGTCCACGGCCGACAGGAACGTCAAGTACTACCCGTGCTGTCCCGAGCCGTATGTGGACCTTGTCTTCAAGCTGGTCATTCGACGAAAGGTTGCCTTCTACAACTACATTCTCATCCTCCCATGTGTGTTGCTCTCTAGTCTGACCCTGGTGCTCTTCTGGCTACCACCGGAATCTCCAGCAAAGATGCAGCTTGGTAAGGTACGGACGATTTGTCTTGCATTGGTTTCGACTGTGGTACCGAGAGCTGACTGTTCTGAAGGCAATGGCAAACAACTGAAAGTAAAATTTGCCTAAACAAGCCACAACAGCCTATATAAATGCTGGGGTTGGTTCTGCAACGTCATATTAAATATACGCAAATAACTTTGAATGCAACACAGAGAGAGAGAGAGAGAGAGAGAGAGAGAGAGAGAGAGAGACGGAGACAGAGAGAGAGAGACGGAGAGAGAGAGAGAGAGAGAGAGAGAGAGAGAGAGAGAGAGAGAGAGAGAGAGAGAGAGAACCGCCATATGTAGCGGTTAGACATTGTCTCGTGAACGAATCAAGTATGCATAGTGGTTAAAGGCTCGCCTTGTTACCAAAAGTCATCGATTCAAATCCATATCGAGTCAAATTTCCTTTCAAAAAGGACCTTGGCTCCTAGGCCGATCCAGCCCTAAATGGGTATCATGTATATTCATGGAAAGTAAATGCGACCGGCGTGAAGCTGTCCACTTCTAACACGGAGAGGTATATAAAACTCTGGATCTAGCTCTATACACTAAATATTTAGGGAGGTCTTGGAGATGAGGCTGTGTGCCCACGTGACTGGTGGAGTCGCCACCAACTGTGAAAGCCGTAATATTTGTTTGTACCCCCGACAGAGACAAACTTCTGCAACCCTACCGAGGATTCGAACCAAGATTTGCTAGATAAGTAAGGAGCGTTTTAGCTACTTGGCCAGCCGTCTCAAAACGTTTTCGGTAACAGGAATTCATTGCTGTAGTAGTAGTACATTTTACCCCACTAGAATATCACACAAGCGATAAACACACGATAACACAAAGTGCCACTATGTGAATGAGGATCACCTATGGAGAGGTCCCAGAAACCGCGTTTAGCCATTAGGCCATATTTAGGCCGGGCTATATTACGGCCCCTAGCAAGAGCCAGGGTGAGGCTTCAACATAACGAAAAATTCCATTCCACGAGGGCATGGGATTATAACCACCGACATTCATTGCTGTAACCTTTTCTGTAATGAGTACTATTTGAAGTCAGCACGTTTATGGGTCTAAAAAATTGCAGATATCATTGAGGTATGAGCACAGGTTAATGTAAAGTGTGCATATCAAGAGTTAGTACCCATTTATAATTAAAGTAGAGAACCCTTTTCCACTCACTAGGACGCAATGGAAATATAGGACTAGATCCAAATTGCGTTGACCAAAAGGCACTCGGTGGGCGATGTGGTAACATTCTGCCGTCCGCGTTTACTTCCTAGGACTGTACCTGGAAACCATTTAAGTCTGGGTCGACCTGTAAGCTAAGAAAATTTTTGAAGTACACACAAAAATTCAAGTTCCGTTAGGACCCGAACCTACCATCTTCCGATCCCAGGTGAGCGCTAAATGCTACACCACGACGGCTCCCACCATCTATGTTAGAAATCGTAAAAATCAATAGACTTCAATAGGATTAACCAATGAATTCATATAAGTAAAAACGCTCTCTTCAAGCTATGAAGTTAAGATTTATTTACGTTTTATTTCCCCTATTGTCCCTTGTCCTCCCGAAATACAGGTATGAATATCTTTGTGGCGTTCTTTGTTCTACTGCTACTACTGGCGGAGTCCACACCCCCAGCCGCTTCCAGTATCCCACTCATTGGTAAGTGATTCTCTTACACAATACAATACTGAACATTCCGTCTGCACATTAGTTCTATTTTCAAAATGAATTATCCGCCTGTGTGTAACTTTCGGACGTGAGTTATGAACTCTTAAACATTGGGGGTGGGGAACGGGTGGGAGTGGGGCGGATGCGCAGCCTTTGAACTTAAATGCTACAGAAAAACATTCACACACACACACACAAAATACTGTAGATCAAGCAGACGAAAAACACCAACATCCTGCATGATCGGAGCAAAGGCGAATTGGCTCATAAACAGCATCTTTCCGAAAGCTGATATGTTTTGGTCATGTTAAACGATATGGCGGCCTGGAGAGAACGGTGATGGAGTGTACAGTTCCCGGAAAACGAGGCAGAGGCAAACCTTTTCTAACATGGATGCACGACATGGAGGATGCATTGACCATGAAAGCACATAAGGCTGGAGAATTGGCTTGAAAAACAGTGGCTTTTGGATAGAAGACATTGAGGATACATTGATTATGAAAGCACACACGTTCGGAGAACTGGCTTGAGAAGGAGAGGAGTTCGGGCGTGCTGTGACGGTAGCGATATTGTGGCAAGGAACTGTTGGTTGATGATAATCCATCCACCTGCAGTGTGTAAAGTAATGGACTCCCCTTCACGCCAGTGGAACCGAAGGGATATGATACTGTATATTTTTGTAAAGAATATCCGCACCCGCAGCGTCCGAGGCTTAGGCGTTGCCAGTCCGACTCGTAATCCAACGTACAGCAATAGAAACCCACTGCGGGCTGCGTGGATTTTTATTGTGGTATGGAACGTCGCAGGTCGACCCAACTTAAAATGGGTCCCAGGGTGGCTTTCCTGGGGAAGTAAAGACGGCCGGCGTAATGCTGACCACATTACCCACCGAATGCTTGGTCTGTAAAAATATGGGTGCTCTTCCCATATACCCGATGCGCCTAAGAGCGTGTAAAAGGATCTTTACTTTTTTTTTTCAATATCCGCACCCGGTGGATGATGCTGTCAACACCACCGACCTTATATCTGGCATATTGTCTCGTATCCGATAAGTGGCTGGTCGAACAGTTAGAACGTTGGGCTCTTATGCGGAAGATCCGGGTTCGAATCTTCGGTAAAACTGGGTCAGGGGCGAAAATAAATCCTCAGCTGCACAGTCATGGAGGCAGCACTAGCCATGCGGTCCTACATCCTCAGCTGCACAGTCATGGAGGCAGCACTAGCCAGGCGGCCCTACATCCTCAGCTGCACAGTCATGGAGGCAGCACTAGCCAGGCGGCCCTACATCCTCAGCTGCACAGTCATGGAGGCAGCACTAGCCAGGCGGCCCTACATTCTCAGGCTGAAATAACCCCTACCTCCAGCACAGAAGCGGTATATGAAGGCAGAAATTGGCAGTGCCTGTGCCTCTGTAGTGTCTAGTATTCCTTTTAGGCTGAGACTGCGTGGAAGCTAGCGTGAATTTCGAAGGAAATTATGACCATGCACATCCGAGTCCAAGGTCTTCGGGCTTTTGGCGTGCGTGCAACGGCCAGACAAGAGCTGTTCAAATTTGACCAATAGTCGGGAACAATAAGTAAAAGATCCTTTTACACGCCCTTAGGCGCATCGGGCATATGGTAAGAGCACCCATATTTTTACAGACCAATCGGCACTCGGTGGGTAATGTGGTCAGCATTACATCGGCTGTCTTTACTTCCCCAGGACAGCCATCCTGGTACCCATTTGAGGCTGAGTCGACCTGCAACGTCCCATACCGCGATAAAAATCCACGCAGCCCGCAGTGGGTTTCGATCGCGGTACATTGGATTACGAGTCAGACTGCAACGCCTTAGTCACGGACGCTGCCTAGTCTGGAACAATACACTCCATAATATTTGTGAAACAATAAATATTAACCCTTGTTTTAATGACCTACAGCTCACATGTGATCTTAGCAGTGGCAACGTCTTGCCTGTAACGACTGTTATTCCGCTTACACGTTTAATTGCACTTTTGAAGAGAAGTGATTTTTTTCTTTCTTTTACTGTTTATTATTACTGTTTTCATGACCCTCAGGGAGTCGCCGTGACAGAGCGACTAGACGCTCGAAGCGGATCGGAAGGTTGTGGGTTCGCTCCCTGGCAGAGCCGGACTATTTTTCAAAAATCACCATGGCTACCTGGTCGGCCCAGCCTTGAATGGGTACGGGGTGCAGTTCCGAGAAGTAAAGGTGGCCGGCGGGATGCTGACCACATTGGCCCATCTTGTGCCGATTGGTCTATAAAAATATTGGTTTAGCCCTATATGCCCTATAAGCCTAAAGGCGTGGAAAAGGGTCCTTTTTTTTTTTTTTTTACTTCTACTTTCATGACCCACGACTACTTTGGTTCGTTCCACGCGGTGGACGGGTACAAATATGTTCTCATTGTTTTCAGACAATGGTACGAGAGTTGAATTGTGAAGGAAATTGGGGCATCACCACGAAATATTCCCAAAGGGAACGGTGACACACTGTAGCCAACCTCCGTTGTGGAGATGGCGCAGAACTTTCACTTTATTCCTCTTTACTATTAATTATAAACACACCACTCATTTTACGTCCCGCCGATTGTTTGAAGTTTGTTTAGAGTACTAAACTTTTTGTTCAAATATTATCTCGTCATCCCCTTGTGAAATTCAATTTTTTAACAATTTTGAAGCCACATCCTGGCTTTTGCCGGGGGCCCTAAACATAGGCGGACCCGAAATATGGCCTGACAGCAAAACAGGATTTCCGAGACCTCTCCATGAGTAATCCTCATCCGCATGGTGGCACTTTGTGTCACCGGGGGTTTATCGCTTGTGTGATGACCTGGGGCGGGGGGAAGGGCGGGGCGGGGTACAAATTAAACTAATACATACATGTATACATAAATACATACATACATACATACATACATACATACATACATACAATACATACATACATACATACATACATAATTACATACATACATACATACATACATACTACATACATACATACATACATACATACATACATACATACATACATACATACATACATTACATACATACATACATACATACATACATACATACAGACATATATACATACATACATACATACATACAGCATACATGCATACATACATACATACATACATACATACATACATACATACATACATACATACATACATACATACATACATACATACATACATACATACATACATACATACATACATACATACATACATACATACATACATACATACAACATACATACATACATACATACATACATACATACATACATACATACATACATACATACATACATACATACATACATACATACATACATACATACATACATACATACATACATACATACATACAGACATACATACATACATACATACATACAT